ACGTCTCTTTTCTCTCTCTCTCATATATATATATATATATATATATATATATATATATATATATATATACACACTCAAATTCTCACCGATGGCGGTGACGCTGATCTTCGAGTTAGTACCTCTTTACTGTTACGTTTGGTTTTCCAAGAATTTAAGGAATAAATTGTAATTCAATTTTGAAGAGCTAATTCCGGTGTGTAATTCATATAATACATATAAGGTTAGTTTAAGAAACAATTAATATATATAATTAATTGAAATGCTTTTAAAATCGAAATGGTCAGGAAACAAAAAAAATGATTGAGACTAAAATTAATGATTTTATGGAAACAAAATATATTCGACTATATTTAATAAAATTTGTTACAAGAAGAGGGTTATTATCAAAACAAAATAATATTCAAATATTTAGAAATATATATATATATATATATATATATATATATACTAATTCTTCTTAAAATAATAATTTTATCTATTAAAATTTATAAGTGAAATTAATTAAATATTTAAAAAAATAGTCAAAAGATCATGACATCTTACTAAATTAGGATTAATTTAAATAATAAATTAAAGCATAGATATATTCTAAATTCAAACACAAATACTCATTTATTATTCACCATTCAAACATTTATTAAACGTTATAATTTCTAAAAAATAGATAGAAAATAAAACATTCCAAATTATTTTTTAAAGATTTATTTATTTTTTTATATTTCAATGATTAATTAATTAAATCAATCATTTAATCGATTAAAGTAGAAAGAAAATTTAATAGGTTATTTTAATCATTAAGTGAAAATTATATCTTCTGTCATCAAGAGTTAAAAAAAACTTTAAAATTGAGAGTCACAATTAATAAAATTGATTAAAATAAAAACCTATACAAAATATCATTGAAATTGAAAATATTTTTAAAATCGAGAATTACATTGTTAATAATATAATTAATTAAATAAAATAAAGAGTCACGATAAATATTATCGAGAGTACGTATACTTTTAAATTGAAATTTACATCATTAATGGAAATTGAAAGTCACACATGAAGACTAAAAATAGTGATTTCATCAAAATAAATGTTGTATTTAATAAAAATGTCATTAATAAGATAATAATTTTATTAATTTAAACTATCAAAACAAAATTACATTTAAATGTTTTAAAAATATCATCAAAACTGATAAAAAAACAATGATTTCATCTATTAAAATTTCGTAATAAAATTAATTTATTATTTTAAATATTGATTGATTAAAAATCAATCATAAAAATATTTAACATATTAAACACACTTTTATCATATTTAAGCAGTTACTAATTTAAATTATAATTAGCTTAAATAATGAATTATAGCATATTGTTAGTGGGAAAAAATCGAAAATTGGAATCAGGAATCGAAAGAAGAAATTCGATAACTATGTGTTAGGAAAAATCGAGAATTTAAATTGAAAATGGATAGGATACGATGACTGTGTTAGGAAAAATCGAGAATCTGAATCGAAAATGGATAGGAGAAATTCGACCATTGTTGGTGGGCAAAATCGATATATGGATCGAAAAGCGAATAGAAGAAAATCGAGGACCATATGTTGGTTAAAAATCGATAGATAAATCGAAAGATGGTTGGAAGACATTCGATGATCGTGTTGGTGGGAAAGAAATCAATATGTGAAATTGAGAGTTGTTCAATGTTCATGTATTAATATGGAAATATCGATCAAGAATCGAATGGGAAAAATTCGATGACATGATATAGAGTAAAAATCGATGATGAATATCGAAGGCAGTTAGAAAGCAGTTCAAAGTACTCGATGTCTGGAATCAAGATCGAAGAACGGTTACTACGCACATGGAACATGGGAAGCGGTTTTCTAAACCGTGGCTAAGGTGGAAATCGAGGCAGTTAAACGCACACATGGAACATGGAAAATCAGTTTTTTTGAACCGTGGCTAAGATCGAAGATCGAGAGAGCAGTTGTCTCATGCATGAGAATGTGGTAGCGGTTTCTAAACCGCTCTTAGGAGGTTACGTTGAAGCAAACCTATAAATAGAATGAAGCGTGAAGAGAAAGGGGAAATTGGCAGAGACAACAGAAACACAAGTGAAAAGTCTACCGAAGAACGATGAATCATGAAGTTTTTTGCGATCTAGATTTCCATTTTCATTGAGTTTTGTTACCATTTTCTTTACTTTCCCTGATACTTTACTTTTAATGCAATTTAAGATTCTGCATTTACATATTTGTCTTTTACCAATTCCTCGTCATTTACAGTTATGCAATTTGAAGATTCTGCATTTACACTTATGTCAGTTTAAGATTCTGCATTTAATGCTTTTTTTACTTTCTCAGTAATTTATCTATTCGCACATTTAATTTACTTTCCAGTATTGTCGATTACTTTTATGCACACTTTAATTCATGTCATTTACTCTTAGTGCAATTTAATTCTATGCGTTACTTTCTTTACTTCTGTTAAATTTCATTTTCTCGAGTCTTCTAATATAAAAAATACAAAAAGAGTACTTTCGATTTTGATATGTATGTTTTATCACATATTTCGTGTTTTTAATACACGCGTTTGGTTTAGTTTCGTTTATTTTGTTCGATATCTTCATATTCTCAATTTATATACACTTTTTGATTGAAAATTGTTTGCTAACCTAAATAAAAAGAATTTACGTGGTTAAAATTTGGTTAGAACTAAGTCTCTAGGACATCGAAAACAACCATAATTTTCACCAAAAACACATATATAATTTTATACTCACTCATTTAGAATTCTTAAAAAATATTGATTAGACTTTATAATTTCTAAAAAATAAAATAAAAGAGAAGATATTTAATTATTTTTAAAAGATTTTTTTTTATTTTCTTACCTTTCAACTCTTTAATAAATTAAATAGACCATTCTAACAACTTTCATAGATTGTATTTAAGGGTTAAAAACACTTTTAATTAAAAGCTATATTTTTAAAAGATATCATCTAGAAATAACTTTAAAAATGAAATATACATTTTATTCATTGATTAAAATCGACAGTAAAAAAATGTAATCTAAACTAAAAATATTTGAAATCGAAAAATAAAAAATGTCATCGAAACTAAAAATAATGGTTTTATCAAAATAAAATAATATTCAACTATGTAATAAAAACATCAAAACACACTAGTTTTTAACATTTATATGTTTAAGATAATATGTTATATATTTAGTGTATTATAAATTTAAGAAAATCTCATGTATTTCATGAGTAAAGATACTAATGAGTTAGTTTAATAAATAATTAATTATATATTAATCATAATATTTTAAAATTAGTCTATCTATCCAAATAATATAATTTTTTTATTAATGTTTAAGATTTTTATAATAACTAACTAAAACACTTTGTAAACCTGTTTTCCAAAAAAATTAATGGTAAAAAAGAAAAAAATATATAATAGTTTATTTCACATAAGATTTTAGGACAATATTGGTATCAACACAAGGAGGTATAATTGAATATTTGTAAAATTAATCATAATAAGAAAATCATAAATTTTTCATAGTGAATTTATATTTTATAATAAGATTAAGACTTTTAATGAAAAAACAAAGTCTTTTTAAAATTATCCAGCAAATTAATTATAATTAATTTAATACATATTGAACATTCAAAATCAGAACACAAACAAATGCTATATATAACTCCAATAGTAAAAATAATTATCTTTAATATGTTTTAAATAATATAATGTGAAAAAAGTTGAAAATAAATTAAAAAATATGCCCAGAATTTAATAAAAAAACAGTATTTTTTGTAATAATTTTTATATAAAGAAATACTAGCATCATCTTTCTTTTTATTTTATATTAGTGGAAATATTGTTGTGTTTATGTATTTAAATTTTTTTTAAACATTACAAAAATAATTATTAAAATATTAAAATTAATAATATTAAAAATAGTTAAAAAGTCAAGTAGAGATTATAATTTTAAGATAATATTATTAAAATAAGTACCAAAATACTAAAAATAAATTTATATTTAAAATAAAAACAGTTAAAAGTTTAAAAAATAAGTATATGATAAAAAGGACAAAACAAAAATAAATTATATACTTAAAAAATAATTACAAAAAATAATTTATTTTATTAATATTATTGATATTATTATATAAAATAATATAGAGAGAAACCTCAAATTTTATATTTCGAGATATAGATGCATTAGAAATTTGGTCATATATATTTTGACACCAAATTATCCAGAGAAAAGTGGACGAAAGAGAATCAGTTTTTTTATTTTATTTTTATTATAACAAAGAATTCACTTTAACTCAAATTGAATTGTTTTAATTGATATATTTTTATAATCTATTTATTTATTTATTTTTATTCTCGCTCTCACTTTTAAATAACCATATTTTTTATTTTGCCCTACTTTATATTTTGAAAACAATATACTTTTTGTTTATTATCTAATTCTTTTCTGATTTTATTTCCCTTTTCCTATTTGGCTACAAAAGTAATAAGGTGGTGATGATGTAACAATCTGCACTTTTGCCGCATTAAAATGTTCACCGCACCGTAGAACAAGTCTTCATCTAAAAACCCATATTACGGTTATACCCTTCTGGTTTAATGGTGCATTATTGCAGCCTCCATTTCATTGTCTATGCAGTGTGTACCTTTTTGTAAATCAATCTCAGAAGATCTTTTCGGCTCGTGCATCGCATGGAGATATTATAAAAATAAAATATAAACAAACATGATTCAGCAACTAAAACTGCTATAAAATATGATTGAAGTCCGTCTCATAACAAATAAAGCAAAAGAACCGATTTTTAAACAGTTAATGTACATTGATATATTGATCCAAAAAGCTAAAAAAATAAACTTTTGTTACATACTATACTTCTTATCTCAAAATTTTGCACAGTTGGTTTTAGAACTGTCGATCAGTTAGGTTGAGGCTGAAGAAAGAGAAGAGTGAAAAGCAAGGAGTGAATTTATGGGGACGGACTACTATGGGATTTTGGAGGTTGACAAGAATGCCTCAGATGAAGAATTGAAGAAAGCTTACAGAAAGCTTGCAATGAAATGGCACCCTGATAAGAACCCAACCAACAAGAAAGAGGCTGAGATTAAATTCAAACAGATATCTGAAGCCTACGAGGTATAAACATCATCAATGGTCCTTGATTTGCCGTGTCGGTGTGCTTAAGATGTTAGATTTAGATCCTATGTTTGATTTTAGTCACCATTTTACTGCCTTGGTGAGTTGTGTTTTGTTTTCCCACTTTCAGTTCTTTGTCCATGACGTTGATCCTTCCTTTCAGTTGAAGGATAAGCATGGACCTTTGATTTGATCTTCTGCTTTGGTGGTCAAACCTCGGTCTGGTTTAACTATACTTGGATGATATTTTTACTAGTTTGACTTCATGTTCAGGATCTATTGGGAGGCGTAGAGCCCCAATTCCTGTTCATTTGTTTCTAACTTTTTCATGATTCAGTTTTCTTGCCAATTTTTCTTTGCTTAATTTTTGTTTTTATTTTGCAACGGGTGATGGTTGATTGATCATCTGAATTGTATTTTTTTCATGCTTTGATGCATCCTCTAGATTGCAGGGGCTCTTACAATACTGTACTGTTAAAGTTTTTTTATAGATAAACTACTAGTTAGATTAGTTGGCTGACTCAGTTAGTGGATTGCCACATAGCTACTCTTGTTTGTTCTACGTGATTCACATGATTGCTTGGGTCCAAGCTGCATGTTTGTTCACATACTAAGCTGTAGAATCCTTATGTTTGTTTCAATTATTCATCTCTCTCGTAATGTCTATTTTTCTTTGTGAGGCTGTGTAAACTGTGAAACAAATATGGAATGTGAATTGGTGTATTGGTTTGGTAATTTGGTTTGATGCAGGTTCTAAGTGATCCCCAGAAGAGAGCAATTTATGACCGGTATGGAGAAGGTGGCCTTAAAGGTGGAATGCCGACAACAGATGAAGGTGTGGCTTCCTTCTTCCGAACTGGGGATGGCCCTCCACCATTTATGTTCAATCCCAGAAATGCAAACAACATTTTTGCAGAAGTGTTTGGGAATTCGAACCCCTTTGGAGGAATGGGAATGGGGTTTGGCTGTGGTGGCAGAGGCAGAGGTATGGGCATGAGTGGTGGAACGTGGGTATCAAGGTCCTTTGGTGGAATGTTTGGCAGTGACATGTTCGGAGAAGGCAGGCCAATGAATCAAGGTCCACGCCGCAAGGCTCCTCCCATCGAAAATACATTACTTTGCAGCCTTGAGGAGCTCTACAAGGGGAGTACCAGAAAGATGAAAATCTCAAGGGAAATTACACATACAAGCGGGTCAGTGTTCTTTGCCTGTCATTTCAATTTACAAAAATATGTACTTGAACCTTCACATAACAAAATGTCATGAACAGAATGGGTTCATTCTGTTGTCGGATTTGTTATAAAATTTTGTAATATTTCTGACTTATTTATCTAAGCCAAAAAAATTTGTGAGTGCTACTTTAGATAGTTGTTTGTTAGATGTCTTTATTTGTTGCATTTCCCTTTCCTTACATGATTGCTTCAGGGATAGTCAGTTGATGCTACAAATTTAGCAATCTGTTAATTCTTCCCCTCCTCCTACCTCTGCATTTCTTTGGGTCATGAGTTCTTGTGGTTGGATATTGGATAAGGATTGGTGTACACTCATTGCTACAATGGTGATATGGTCATTGCATTTGAGACATTACTCTTTGATGGCTCTGAAGTGTGACTGATTGAACATTAATTAGGTGAGATATAGGAACGGAAATAGACTAGGACCAAGCTTGGCTTGACCTGCTTTATAATCTCCTGACCCAAGTCTTCTTTTAGCTGCGGCCCGACTTTTATATATGTATGGCCAGACTTATTAGTCTGATAAACTTTTAAGGGCTTGATTCATAGTATGCTGTAAATAAGTTGATAATTCTATCCTCAAACATATTAATAGGCTTACAAGTTAATAGACGTATACTAAACAAGTCAATAAGCTTACTAGCTGACAAACATGTCACACTAGAAATTATCTAAACCATGAAAACAAATTGCTTTTTATAGCCATTACAACCAGCACAAGTCAGAAACAAAATGTTTTGGTTGATAAAATAGTGTTAAATAATATTTTTTATTAAAACGATATTATTTTTTATTCACAACATGACCTACTCAACTAAAAAGATATTTTGAGAGTTTGTGACTGACTTATTGGTAAATATAGACTAGTAAACACCATAGTTTAATGTGTCAAACTGCAAGGCCATCAAGGACAGTTGGAACTTTGGGCTGAGGTTGCCACTATCAATTATGAACGTAATAGGTGGTCAGTGGTTTTAACTTTTAGTTTATCACTCAACTGTGTAAAGTGTGCATACCCTGATTCCCTCGGCTACCTTTCTTCTCGTTATGGTGTTTAAATAGGTGGTGACTTTTCTAGGCTGTTTGAGCTCTGCAAATTTTTCTCCATCAGCAAAAGCTTTTTCTTTCACTTGTTATGTCTGCCTATATAAGCACAGCCACGTTGATATAATTCCCCTTCTCTACATTTATGTTTCTAGGAGAGTATTTCCTGTGGAGGAAATATTGAACATTGTTATCCAACCAGGCTGGAAGAAGGGAACCAAAATCACTTTCCCAGAGAAAGGAAATGAACAGCCAAATGTCATTGCAGCAGATCTTGTGTTTATTATTGATGAGAAACCTCACAGTATGTTTACAAGAGTTGGTAATGATTTGGTTGTGACGCAAAAGATATCACTTACAGAAGCTGAAGCTCTACCAGGCTACACCATCCAACTTACAACTCTTGATGGCAGGGGTCTGACCATCGCCATAAACAATGCCACTGATCCAGATTACGAAGAAGTCATCACTGGGGAAGGCATGCCGATTTCCAAAGATCCTTCAAAGAGGGGTAACCTTAGGATCAAATTCAAGATCTAAATCCCAGACATAGTTGGTGCCTGAATGGAAAGCCAGAATTAAGAAATTTCTGGCACCATAAGAGTGCCAACTGTTGCAGAGTGTATCTAGTGTATAATAATAGTCTTTGGTTTTGTTCGCATTCTTCCCTTCCTTGTTCCTCTTTATTTAGATGGTATGTGACTGAGAAATTTGTGAAATGCGTTAACAATGTCATCCACGCAAGTAACACCCGACATATTAGGCTGAGGTATAATATTTTTTAAATTACGAGTGACAGAGTACTTCAATTCTGTTGGATTAATATCTATTTATGTTAAATTCTGAACAAATGTGATTTGGAAAATGATTTAGAAATGAAAGTGTTAATTAAGAAGACCAAACATAATGTAAGACTAGGTGTGGGGACCAGACCGCGTGCGGTGAAGTAAAACCAACAAGCGATTCAAAAACGAAGGAAATTTACTTCTGCACAAAAGAGGAGAGGTAGAACAAGCAAAGTGCCAAGAGTTAGCCGGTAATTCCTCTGTCCTGTTGAAATAATTGATGTATTTTAGGTTTAATTTTTAATTGCTACATATTTCGTGGTGAATAATGATTTATCAGTTTAAAAATAGTGCAGTCAATAAGGTATAATAAAAATTTATTAATTAATGGGTATCTATTACAAGGAGGGAGAAAAAATTACAAAAACAAAATGAGGTTGGCTACTAAGCCCTCTGCTTCAAGATTCTTAAAATTACAAGGCTCCATTTTTGCATGGATAATATACACTAAATCTACCCTAACATGAACACTTCAAGCCATTACATGACTAGGAGCTCAGGTGTTTGTAAAGCTGCAATATAAAAAATGTAACGCAGCCTTCAGGTGCGATTCCCGTCATTTGAGCAATTAAAAATGGATGTTCTAATCAGAAGAATCTTCAGACAAAGCTGAGTATGAGCCTCCAACATTTACTACTCTATTTTCCATCCCATCTGAACCCTCACTCATAACATCTGCTTCTGAATCCTCATCTTCATTTTCTTCAATGCCGTTGTCGTTGTCATCTTCAAAAACATCCACATCTTCGTCACTCATTCCAACCAAATCCCTACTCCATCTGTTGGGGGGAACACCGTTAAAACCTACCTCCCAGTTTCCTTGATCATATTCAACAGCTTGAGCACGGTCATCGTCAGATTCTACCTCTTCCGCACTATTACTATTGTCAGCAGCAACCCCAATGTGTACCGGAGTCATGGGACTTTCCTTTCCTTCATCCCATTCCTCATCCACATTTCTCAATGGTTCTCTATTAATCTTCGAGATATGACTGGCAGTCGAATGGCCAAGCAACAAATCTTCAACAGCTCGTTTTCCCACTCTCCGCTTTCTTGCTGTTCGGCGACCTCGCCCTGCACCTTGTCCTTGTGTTCCTCGTGCCTGCTGTTTTAATTTGTGACTAAGATTGACAGTGACCTTAGCATTCTTCCGACCACCATCTCGTTTGGAATTGCACACTCTTTTAGCCAGCTTTTTGCCCCGTCCTTGTTCATTAGTCCCACGACTACGTTTATTGCCACTTCGTACAATTTTCTTTGGAACAGATTTATCTTTAGCGAATTCATCATGGTCATATTCTGCTTGTTCAACCTCCCTATTAGATTTCAATTGACTGTATCTTGATGGAAGCTTCTGCAAAAAGCAAGTTAGGCGCACTAATTTGTCATCACAATATCATGAAAAATTTAGATATAACACCCCAGAAATTAGAAATATGACAAAGGGAACATAAATGTAAGGGAACTTGACACCCAATTTGCTTTGAGTCTGTCAGACACAATAGCTCAGCCTCAGTGTTTTCAGATAAAAATGTAAAGCTGTAAAAGCTTATGCATAGAAAAACTTTCATGATCACATCAATCCTACTACTGAAGACTAAAAGCAATCTACTGTAACGGAAAAAAGTGAGACTCACTATGTATTCTCTGGCTTCTTTCTCCTCACAAGGTTCAAGCCTTTCAGGCTTTACATAACTGAGGGATGAATCAATCTCGAAGAGTCTGAGAGACAAAGCTGCAGTCGTTAGCGGAACCCATGGAAGCACAGCAACAGAATCAGGGTCAGTTGAAGCCTGCACAGAACATTCTGACACACTGCTTGATCTCAACAATTCATCTGTTGTAGAAAAGTTTGATGACAGAAAATCTCGCCGTAGTGCTTTCTCAAATAAGGTCAATATCTGCAAAATAAATTGGTCAATTCATACATTTCTGAGTAGGAATATAATTTAGAGCTATAGAAGCTAGAATTTTAAGAATTGAAAGGATACAACACCTGTATAAGTTCCTCAACAGAAGATGATTTGCTCAACTTTACACCCCAGTGCTTCCTAATATCATCAGTCCAATTTGTTCTAAATGCTTCAGATAGAACAGATACCTGTAAATAAAATGTAAATACAATATACTCCTTAAAGTCAAACAAGCAGGACAAAATAAGAAGGCACAAAATAACAGTTCAAAATTTAAGAAAACAGGGTTGAAGGTGAAAGCACAGATACCATTAACTCACCTCCATACAAGCCAACAGGACCTTAAGCAATCTTGTTCGCAAGGGAAGAGAGTATTCCAGAATACAATTATCTTTGGATAACTTCTCTCGACATTGAAATGCATGTTTAGAAAAATTAAATCCATTATTTGAAGGAAAAGTCCGGTGGCAGGAACTGCAATGGGAGTCATCAACAAAATAGAGATTGAGACAGTTATCACAAAAGTCCATCTGAGGTTTGCATCTCTTTATCCCATACTTCATTGCACATAACACTGACGAATTATAGCATTCTTTCCACAACCACTTCTGAAAATCTTGATACCTTCTCAAGGCAGCTTTCTTCTCACTCTCAGTTTTCCCAAGTTCGATTTTGAAGGATGATGAAGTTTCCAATGTATTATCAGTGTTCAAGTCATGGAGGGTACTGCTAGGACTGTCAGATCCAGCACTGTGGTCAGGGATAGAATATGGTTCATTAGCTTCAAATTTTATAGAAACTTCGCCTTTGCTTCCAATTTTTGCACAATGTGAGTTCCTTTTTCGAACATTTTCTTTAAAGGAATTCTCAATCTTTTGCATCATTAAGCGCAAATGAGATTCCCTGAGCCCACGTGAATCCAATGATGTCAAAAGAGCATCAAAGGCCTGCATTTTAACAGTAGAACAAATACCATTGTAACCAAAACAAAGCATGATAAAGACATCAAACTTTATACAGCCCCTAAAGATTTAAATGAATCACACAATCAAATAATATTTACATGGCAGTTCCAAAACATTAATAGTAAAGATAAAATGAAACTTTGATAAAATACATTCAAAATAATTTCCATGAATAAAACTGGCAAATGTTTAAATTTCAAAAGTTATCCTCAGTATTCCCATTTGCTAATGATCGGATATTGATGGGGGAAAATATAAATTTAGAGGGAAGTCTTCTAGGATGTCAGGGAGATTTGATGTGTCCTAAGCGCTAATATACATGTCATTAAAGCATGCAATGAGAAATAATAAATCAATTTATAATTAGTTGATCAGAAAAATAGAGATCATCTAATGGAAAATACAGAATAAACAATGTACCTCCTCAGAATCAATAAGCCACCACTTGCCATCATGACATTCAACAAAGATCCTGCCAGAACCAGGATCATTGCTAGATGCAGATGCAACAAACTGCCAATATCGATTTCGTCTGCGATCTTGGCCAAGGGGTAAAGACCTGTAGACATACATCTCCTCCGCTAGGTGGGCAAAATAAGATTTCAACTGTGAACGTGACCTTTTCGAATATTGCACAGGTACCTGAGTCTGAGGGATGTCTGCACCAGTACTCGTGCCAAAATCTTGAATTGATGAGGACTTCTCCATAAGTATGCTCTGTGCAACAGGAGCTCCTTTTTGGTTTTCTGCAGTGCTGGGTGATACTTCATTATTGTTAATATTGATGTCAAGCATTGGACTTTGGTTTCCCTCCACAGCTGGATATGTATGCTGTGTTTCAACTTTATTCCCAGTAAGAGATGGAAAATCTAATTTACTAATATTATCATCTTTCAGACGAACTTTGTCTATCTGTGCGTCTGCCCACATTTGTTTCTTCAGAGCATTTGCTGATTCCAGTCGATCCTTGAAAACTTGCCATGTCAACTCAAAAACTATACAAAAATAAACTTAGGGTACACATTAAACATAAAAGAGATTACCTCAAGGACAACACGGATAGAATTTCCTTCATTTGCCACACCAACCAAAGCAACAAGAGCATTTAGACGCTCCTCTACGCTGAGATCAGAATATTCTCCTTCTGCAAGCCCTAGAATCCAGGACTCACCAGATATGCTTTCATCAATTTCCATATTATCCTGATCAAGACTGCCAGCATTTACATCTTGACAAGTAGCAGGTCTGTTTACAGAACTGGGACAATCAGCATCCGTGGAACCATTCTTAGGAAAACAGGGTAGGTCTGTATCAAAATCATTTTGTATAATATCAATGTTGTGTCCCAAATTTTCTTTTCCATTTGATGAGCAAATGTTTTTGTCATCATACTGTTCAGACATTTGGTTTGCACTTGAAGGATTTACTAAATCATCATCTTCAGGGTCCTCATCAACTTCATCACTTTCTGACTCCTCTTCTCTTTCAACATCATCACCATCTTCACCAGCTAAAAACCCATTTTCAAATATCTGAATTTTCTTTCTTGCTTCTGAAAGAATAGAATCAGCATCAGCAGGATCCTTTCTGAATGCATCTCGTACACAATATGTTGATGGAGCTATTCTTTCAAACAATTTAGTGTCTCTTGTCAAAGCAACAGAAATTGATGCTTCAGGTGTCTTGCTGGTTGTCAGGTCCCGGAGACCAGATTTCTGACAGGAAAAGAGAAATAAGAACAAAATTGACAGTTTAAAAAAGAGCTTTTAACACACAGAGAGAGAGAGAGAGAATTCACCTGAATTTTTTCTGCAAGTTCTAGTACTGTCAAACCCTTACTCCCCTCCAGCGAGAGAACATGAAATGCTGCAAACTTAACTGTTCCAGGAGTTAGCCGGTGCCTTGATCTTCGAGGAGCTAACAGACCTCTCTCTTGCATTTTGGCCACAGCGCTTTCAGCTGCTGAACCATTACGTAGTGTAGAAATGATATCTACGCAACTTTTCCCCTGCATTAACAAATACATTTTTAACAACTTAATCTATAATAAAGTAAGACAAATAAATTCATTGTTAAAACAACTGCTCAGTGAACTGCAATGATAACACAAAAATGTTTCAGCCTATGGGCACTAAAATATCACAGCCTTCATTTAACATAAAATCTTCAGATAAGCATATGAAAAATAAAGAAAGTGAACCTCGTCTTTATCAATTGCATATGACCACGTAATACTTCTTTTCTTCAGCTGCGGCCCTAATCCTGCAGACAATGCTAACTGTCGGAAAATCTCTGGCCATGTCAATTGATTTAAGTTCCTCTGCCAATTTCGTATGTCAAAGCCCCATGCATATGCCTAAAACATAATAAAGACAACATTGTCTGAGTCAACAGTCTTAGGCAAAACTAGTATGTCTCAGAAGGAAAAATAAAGTTTCTGATATATTTCAACTTACTCCTTCCACAATCTCAGGATGGCCACCTCCAGGATTAGCAGCTCCGTTCTGATTGATCCCTAATCCTGTAGAAGGCGTCCTAGCAACATCTTCAATGTCCTTTATTATCACCTTGAGAAGGGCAACATGTATCTCACCCAACAATCTAGAATCCTGCAATCAAATGGTTTGAATGGAACACAAATAATAAGCAAGGAGTGCACAAAAAAATCAGTTCATCTGCACCACAAAATCGATAGCAAAGGCCAGATTTACTCACATAGTCATGAAATGCCTGTACAAACTCATCAAGAGTAAAAGGCCATAAATCAAGAACATCAGCAAAAGTAATCAAGAATCTCCAAACCTGAAAGAGAGAAATAGATCACAGCTTTCAAACTTAAAATTCAGAGTTCTCAATTTTTAAGCTTAACAAATAAATAAAGAATAACATGAATGATCTCAGTACAACATACTGCAAGTTAACATACATCACCTTCACTATCATAGAGGTAGGCGAGCAAATTTAACCAAACATTTCAAATCATTGACTGATATAGACCAATGCCAGAAACTGAGAAAGGGAAGAAAAGTCCCTTTCCCCCTTTGGACAGTACCAGAGCTACATTAACCTACACTACCATGTAATGATGAAGGGAATACAAACATACCATGAGAAGGTTGCCAACATTCTGTTCTGAGTTGCTCCAGGGTTGGATAGCAAATGGTTTTCTCAGTTTTACACTCTTGGGTGGAAATACACACAATGAAGCTACAGTACAACATGAATTAGTAACAGAACCCAATTAAGTAACATTACAAAATGTAACATTGAGATAACTGCTCACCCCTAAATGATTCAAGGTTTTGCAAAGTATCAAGATCAATATGAATAATAGAGGAAAGACCCTTGCTTGCAGCAGCCAACTCCATCAATTCCAGTTGTTCATCCTCGATGAGCTCCATGGATTCTTTAGCTATTCTCCGAGCATTTGCCTTCTCAAGTGCAGCTTTCCTCCTCTCTTCCTCCTTCTCTTTGCGAATCTCTTCTTTTTGCCTCCTTTTCTCAGCCTTTTTTTAAGAAAGATAACAAGAAAAAGGAGCAAGGTACATTAAAAATCCAGATGTTTCAATATTTGCCCATGGATTATAACCAACAGGGTTTAAAAAAATTACTCTCAAATGTTCTTTCAACAAAAATTTTTCCCTTCGCTCCATTTCCCGCCTTTGTTCACGTTTTGATCTTTCCTCTTCTCGTTGTTTTTCACGCATCAACCTCTCTTCTTCCTTCCTTCTTTCACGATCTAGCCTTTCCATTTCTTTCTTCATCCTCTCTTCACTCTAAAAGGGAGAAAGAAAATAGATGGGTTAGCTAAAGAGAAGGAGATGTCTTTTAGCTCTAAATAATGTTCAGTGGCAAGGTAGCAGGCAACTTCATTTTAATAAAACATTCAAACCTTTCGTCTGAGGTTATCTTGTTTCTCAAGCTCTTTCCGCATCCTCATTTCATAGGCTTCAACTTCCTTTGCAACTCTGGCTTCATCACTCTACATAAACAACGTAAAAAATATGCATCATCCTCCACAAAAAAGAAATACTGTATTAACATAGAAAAGGAAAATGACTTAAAATAATACTTGGCAAAATTACAAATTCAATTAATACCTTTCGTTTCCTCTCCATCCTCAACACTGCATCGTTATGGGATACTTGCCCACTAGGTAAAGCATATGGAATTTCTTGCCCAACAATTGGGTGATCAGTATAGTGGGAGTTCATTACAGCATTGGTAATGTTTGTGTTAGGTTCCCTTTTGGGTACAACATCATTTTCTCGAGGGGGAGATGGATAGGGAATCACTTGTTTGTCCTGTGGTTGAGACAAAAGACGGACACGAGAAGAATGACTTTGGGGAGTATGAATTCTAGGTTGCTGTTCATTTCCAAGGGGAAAAGGAGTTCTTGCAGGACCCTCCATTGGTTCATGTAAATGAGGTAGGTTTAGTTGTCCAAAAACATCAGATCTAATGCCAGACTGGTTTGGAAGGAAGGGATACTCATGGAATGTCCTTGTTATTGCCTGAAATGGATTCCATTTAAAACCATAATACCATATTAACAGCCAAAGAGAAAGAGTTGACAGTAAATATAATCAAAAGATGAAAAAGTAAGTTTTTTCTCAAACTATTAAAGTAAACTAAGGAAAGACTATTTTGTATTAGAAGAGCATTTAGAAACCTTGTGTGAAAAAAAGGATTCGGAAAAATACACCCATGACTAAAATAAAGAATAAACAGCATCCCAAGGGAATACTAAACTACACACGTACATCAAATTTACCTTTTCCTTTTACACAAATAAATAATAGAGGCTAAAGTACTAATATGACCAATGTCACAATTCACGCTGAGAGTGCCAAAATGCCATATAGTAAAAGATGAAAAACTAAATACCAAATAGTATAGAAAGTAAAGGAATACCATTATACACTGACATGAAGGAAAAACATTTAAAAAAATGTTCCAATCTTGATAACTAAATCACACAATCATGATTAACACGTACTTCAATCATAGTTATCAATTTCAGACAGCAGTGTGTAACAACTGACATTAAAAATGCTGAAGGATAGGGGCATGAAGCAATTTAAATTTTCAATATATATATACAAACATACATACATACATACATACATACATACATATATATATATATATATATATATATATATATATAATCAATACTATGTACAATACATAGTTCAATATAAAATTCTCCAAAAATTCCCAAATTTCATGACATAATAATTATCGATAAAATTCATAGATTTTGGGCAAAACATGCAAAGTAAATAAAACAAGCAAAGAAAAAGTAGCAGGAGACAGTAACAGGTACAAAGATAAGTAAACAGACCAACAGAGAACAGACATGGCCTATTATTTTCAGAAGAGAAGGCTGGACCGCACTGGCAGCGGCCTGAGATACAGTGCTCTACCGCAAAGATGAAAGGGGGAATTAAGGTTGTACCTTTTTAGGTCTGACCAAGGCTAAATGTCATTTTCATAATAGAGCAAGGGTAACATTGGGTTTTCATCACCCCTCAAGATTGCACCACAGTGCAATGACTGCAATTTGGATGCCACTATCATAACAACAAACACACTACGAAATAGTCACTCCATGTAAAATTGCACACAATTAATAACACAGAGCTCAATGCAAGAATAATTTGATTGGATACTGAAGTTTGGGCTTAAGCCCAATTATTGGGATGAAAAGGACAATAATCAATTATTGGATTCATGTCCAATGAAACCAATGATGTGGAAGGTTTATTCCAGAAGCCACATTGAGGTGCCAAGTTTGCCACAAAAGGAGGATTATGCAGTGTGGAATGGGCCGTATTATTTTAGAGCAAAGTTGTTATAGAGAGCCTTGCACTCTGGTGGATGACAGATGAGCTTGAATTGAATTTCAATTATCAGTTCAATTCCAGTGGTATATATAGTTGTTTCTTTTTCTGAATATAATGTGTCCTACCATAATTTTACAAGACCTAAACACTAAGAAGTTATAAAGAAAACCAACCTTATTTGTCCTAACATCATGTCTTTCATATATTTTACTGTCATAGGCAAGACTAGGCCGCTTCTGAGGATCTGTAACAGCTGCACCAAAAGAAAATACTAGAAGCGTAAGTAGTCAAACAAGGCACATGCACCCATCACAAACAATTATTCATCAAGTAAACCCTCACTTAGGTATATAATATTGCATGCATTAGTCCTTTTAGTCACTTTAGTAAAACTTCACTTTGGTCCCAAATTCTGGAAAATATAATTCACACTCATCCTTGTCCATACAAAGTATGGTCCAATGTGAATGGTGTATCACAAATATAGCAACTAAAGTGGAGATTAAGCAAAGTTGTCGACTAAAATGATTAACAAATAAATATCAGATTAAATGAATTTATTCTCAGCAACTTAAACCATAAAAGTAATGCGACTAAAATTCTTTAAGGTTAAAAAATCAGCCAGAAAGAAGACAAGCAAAGCTAAATAAGAACATTTCACAACTCCTTCTGATGACACACTTAAACAGAACATGCAAGAAACTAGTTTATCCCATTACCACTAAACAAAATAAAAACCACATACATATAAAAATTGAAACTCCATAGTTAACATCATTATCATGATACCTAAGTACTAATATACAATGAAAATCCAATAAACAAAGCATGCAAGACAAGTTCAGAACAGTCGAATTGCATATCCAATACCCAATAAAATAAACGTACAAATAGGAGGTAAAAAAGAAAACACACTATCATACATTGATAGAGTTCACTGAATTCAACCCAAGCACACAACCATCCACCAAGTCAAAGAACTGAAGACCATACCTAAGGGTGCCCCAAATGCATCCGGTGGCAACGGATCAAACTCCACTCCAAGAATAGGCCCGTCTTCCCTTAAAGGCTCCCCCAACTGAGCCTCCACACAAGCAATTGCTCTAAGCTCCATTATAGTCTGTGGCGACTCATAGTAACCCCGCGGCACCACATTCCTCAACTCCGAACGGCTAAACGGGCTGGATCCTGAACCCGACCCGGATCCATATTCAGCACCCACTTCAGAAGCCAGTTTGGGCTCGTCGACCGGAGAATCAGGCAACGCCGCCGACTTACGTGGCTTCTTTGACGGCAAGTCCTTCTTGTCCTTCAACCGCCGGTGACAGAACCACATCTGCAACTGCCGATCCGACAGCCCCAACTTCTCCGACAACTCCGCCCTCATCATCTCGGACGGGTAATTCTCCACTGTCCAAAAATAAAACAAAAAATTAAAAAAAAAAGTCAGTGAACATAAACCTATAAATGGAACAAGAAAAAAGAAAGGCTAACACCACGAACCAGCATAAGCTTTCTCGAGCGTCTCAAGCTGAAACGGCGTCTTCATCTGGCGCTTGGGCTTGCTCTGACCCTCACTCGAATTTCCAAATTTGCTGTTACTTTCATTGTTGTTGTTGTTGTCATTGCTGTTTTCTTCCCTCTTCAACTCGTTGTTCTCTGGCTCAGCCTCCATGGATCGAGATCGAACCACTTTTCCCCTTCAAACCCTAAGAATCCACAACGAAGCCACAAAAAGAAACACAACCACGCAGCACAGAGAGGAAAGGGAAAAAATAATTAGGGCAACTGAATGGAATCGATTTTAGTGTTTCTTTGTTTTTATTTATTTTTGTCATCTCTTTTTCTCTTTGGAAATCAAAAATTCCGTGATAGTCAAGGAATGGAAAGGCACAGAATTATTATCCTTTGATGAAAAATAAATAAATAGCAACACGATAATTTAAATTCAAAAGATAAAAAGAAAAGCAGCGTGTAATAAGAGATTGAAAAGATAGAACAATGAAGATGAAGAATAAAAGAACAAAATCCAAAAACAAATAATAGAACAATATTAATAAAAAGAGTGATAATCGATAAACGAAATTAATAACCCAACAACAACAGTTCCTCTTCTTGACTACTATAACTCTTCCCCCACCTTTCATAATAATTTCTTTTAATTATTAATTACAATTACAATAATAATAATAATCTTAATCTGTTTTTCTTCCCTTTTTTGGTTTTTATGAACCAACGGTGTGATCCTTCGATGATCGTGTCAAACAGGAGGGCCAGCTAAGAAACAAAACCAAACCCGAAGAAAGAAGAATGACTTTTTTTTTTTTTATGTTTCTAAACTTTGTGTTTTTCTATTAACCAAAATGAAATGTTTCTCTCACTGCGTGTGTTTGTGTGCATCGCTTTCTCTCCCCACGTTGTTTTAATTCGATGAACTTTTTATTCTGAGGTTCTTCCGTGTCCCGGGTTTGATTTTTCTTTGGTTGAATTTCTTTTGGTTCTGTTTGTCTTATTTTAATATTACTTTAGTTTCAATGTAACTTTGGTCAATTGGTTAAGGTGTGAGGGAATTGGAGAGAGAAGAATTACTGAAGGTGTATTTTGTTCAAGTTGGTGCGTTGGATTGGTTCTTTATGGATGTTTTTCTTTCCAAGGCTCAGTTTTGGTGATTTCGTATCTTCCGCGTGCTATGATCGAATCGATGTTTAAGGTTCGTGTTTTTGTGGGACCCGTTCTTGTTCCTGTGGCTACCCCACACACATCATGAAGTTGGGCTTCTTATTGGACTTTCACTGTTTTTGGGCCTCAAAGATCAAGATTCAGTTATGAGTTTATGATAATATCACATGTCTGTGTGTTGGTTGGTACGTGGACTCTTTATAAGTTCTTGAATTTTGTTGAATTGATTAATGACTGTACGTGACAGAATGGAAATATTCAACTAACAGTCAAAGAAATTCATAAAAAATATAAAAATGGTCAAAGGGAGAAAAGGGTTCATCTAACAAAAATCGACAATCATAATTAATGTGGATGATCGAGTCAAAGGTAACAACCTTACAATTAGTCGTTAAATGCCCTAAATTTTTGTGTTTGGATTAATGGGATTCAAAGAAGTGGAAAATATGAAAAAAAATGTTTAGAATAAGAGAAAATAATGAAAATAAAAAAAAGTAAATAATTTCTTTATCATTAATAATTTATTTTATTATTTTAATATATTTTTTAATTATTTATTGATATAATACTAGACAGATACAAAAATATATAAATTTAAAATATTACATATAATCAATTATTTATGATGTAACAATTGATTATCTTCTGGATCTCCTCAAATTTTCTTCGCATATGAACGTAGAAAATGGTTACACTAAAATTTACCTTTTCTATATATTTTAAAATGAAAATTCTTTACATTTTCGCTCTTTTGAAAGGAAATAAGACCTTAAGGTGACACTGGGAAAAAGCTATAGTATGAGTAAAAAATAAATATATCTTTTTAATCATATACATAAAAAAGAAAAATACTCTATCTAAACAACTAAGTGATTTTTTTTGTATTAATACATGTGTATGATGGCAAAAAAAAAAAAAAAAAAACTCTGGTTAGTGGAGTAATCTTATACTGCGAAATTGTCTCCCATACACAAAAAAAAAAAAAACAATCTTACCAGACAGAAAATGACATATCAAGAGACCAATTAAAAAATTATTAAGCAAGACCAAAACAACGTTATATATGTTAATTCTATTTATTGTCTCTGTAATTTCTTACATAATTTAATCCCTTTTAAGATTATATTAATTATTTTATACCAATATAAATATACCATTCAATTGTTAAAAAATAAAATAATATATATATATATATATATATTAATAAAATATAAGAAAGTTTGTTACTAAACTTTATTATTAATAATATCTTATGTGAAACAGTAATTGGCACTGTTTCTATTGATATAAATAGAAGACTTTTTAATACTTTAATATAATTATAGTAAATAATATTTTTAAAATTTGATTAGTTATTGAGTTTAAAATATGAAATTTAAATCGATTTGATAAAATAATATTTTTGTAATATGATAAATATATAATAAATTTATTAATATTAATATTTAAAAATAATAATAAAAAAAGTTATGATTTATCATAAAAATTATAAATATAAAATATATTACAGTGTATAAAATGAATAATGATTAAAATAAAATAAAAATATAATAAAAGAATTATTTTTTAAAATTAGCATAATTAATATAAAATTAAAAAATAAAAATATATTATATTTTTTATAAAAAATTGTATTAAAAAAATAATCTTAATTTATTTTTTATTTTTTATTAAAATCTATTCAACTAAAAAATTTAACTAATTTTTTTATTTTATCTAAACTTAATTAAAATTCAATTATTTTGATTAAATTGATCATTCCGATCCTATTTTTAAAATAATAATTATAGAAAACTAAAATCATTTAATTTATGAAATTAAAAAATAAAATATACCCTAAACAGCAAAATGTATTTAATAGTAGCATTGATGATTAATAATTATATTTATAGTCATAAGAACTCATTCATTTGACTGTATACTAAATTAAACTGTAAACCTGTTTTGAATTTACAAAATGCTACTGAAGATCATCATTGAAGTAGTTGACAATTTCTGTAATATAACTACAGTCTCAATTTAATTAGATAATAAATAGCATTAATTACTCAAGTAGTTGGATTTCTTTTACAATGTCAATACTCAACCAGAGTGAGACACACGCAGTAAATATTAACATTATTAAAATTAAATGATTTGATAAACTTCATAATCATTGGATGATTATCTAAACAGAGTAACATATACAATCTTATTCTCACCCCACTTTTTTCTATCTTCACCCTCAGTTCCTTTTGGAAAATGTCTCAATACTAAGAATCCAATCTAATGTGATAAATTGAATTCTAAAATTATGTTTCTAAAATTATGAAACATAAGTTTTTTAAATTGGATCTACGTAATTAATAAAAAATAATATTTTTATTATAATATAATTAATCATAAACATAATATATAAAGTCAAAAATCATAAAAAAAGAATTAAAAAAATCTCACTCATGAATTTTTTTTTACTCAAAAACAAGTTTCTCTTATTTTTTTCTTATTATTCATCATATCATCCTTATTAATCCTAAGCACAGAGTGTTCTTATTCTTAAATTAAAAATGCAAGAATAATTATAAACATTGTATAATTTATTTTTTAATAAATAATTATTTTTTATTTCTTTTTTATATTTAATACACTAGGTAAATGTTTACATAATCAATTATTTTTCATATTAATCAATACAATCAACGTTCATATCATTTATAATCTTTAAATATTTATACTAGTTTTAAATAATTTAAAGATAAATATATGTATTTTATTTAGATTTAGTTTTAGAATAAATTACATTATTATTTAAATTAAATATTTATATATTTTTAAAATTAATTTAAAGTATAATTTTTTTACAAAAATTTAATAAGTTTTTTTTTATAACTTGTGAAAAAATATTTAAAGAGAGGAAAAAATTGTAATATAGGTGAGAGAAAACTGTAATAATAAAAAAGAGATAAAATATAAGAGAGAAGATAAATTTTAGTAAAATATAATGAATTTTACAATTTTAAGTAGGTGTATGCAAATATGATGTGTTAGGTGAGTTTGCACGTTATACTATTTTCATTTAAGTTTTAGCATCATATTTTTTTATATAATTAAATAATGTGAAGTGGTTATGAAGGAGTGTCCAATAGTAATATTGGAGCTAATAATTTGCTGGAGGAGAACGTGATTCAACGAGGAAGGAATCCCAGAGGAGGAGTGAGAATCTCACGTACCTTAAATCTTTCCATCTTTGAATTAGCTTGCGTGCATCCACCAAAGCGTGCTCATATAAGCCACTAACCAAATTATGTCATGATTAAAGGAATAGTAACCCAGATAACCACTTAACCACGATGAATTAACATTTATCATCATCAACTCGTGGGTAAACTACTTGATTGACTTTTTGAATAACCACTCTTAAATATTTACAAATTCTGACTGAATACTATCAAGTTTTGTTGGCTGTATCTTCTTTAAGACTATCGAAGAAACATAATTTGTTAAATGTAAGATTCAATTCGTTAAACAGTTGTTCAAGGAATCTATTCTCCATTTAAATGGAAACTGACTTGGGCGTAAAATATTGCTTATAAGTTATAAACCAATGGATTAATCGAGAACCCCTTCTACTGCCAGGCTTAAGTCAGGTCTTAACAACATTATGTAAAGTACTGAAAATGAATAAATTGAATAATATAAGGTTTAAATAATGAATTTCGATTGAATATATGTAATTTGATCCAGCCACAAGACATAATCAATCCAATTAAATTATTGAAATCGGAAAAGTTGAATATAGACAGAAGAAGACTATTAATTTGTTGAAAGGGGGAAGCCAATTCCATGTCTCTGTGTAGGAAACGCAACAAAGAACATGCTGCCCAAAACGCCAATGCCAACTGGCAATACTGTGAGGATTTCCTGTATCTCAGTTGAGGGTGCTGGAAAGAAGCAATTCACCACATCCTGATCAAACAAAGCAATTGCTGCAAACACCAAAACTGACATCACTGCATGCATGAAATCTATGAACTTCAGGCTATATTTTGCAGCAAGTTGAGGTGGAAGGGTGGTTGATCCATCAATGATCCACAGGCCCCTGAGGGTCGCAAGCCCATAACAGATGTTCCCCTTGTTGTCTCTAAAGCTATCAGTTAAACATAACAGGAAGCATGAGGCACCACAGAGAGATACAAGTGCAGCAGTCATGGCTTTGCTGACAGAGTCACAGTTGCCAAGATTTGTGAAGATCGGGGACAGAAGCTGGAAAGCAAGGACTGTGCCAGTTGGTAAAAGGTTGGCCAAATGGGCAGTGCTCTGAAATGTCTGACTAATGGCTTTCTGAATCAGATTCCTCTCTGCTTCTGGCACCTCACTATTTCTCAGAAGTGGCAGCCTTTCTTCATCCTCCTGATTTCTAGAATCATCATTCTCTATTTTGATGTCCATTGCTTGTTGAACCTTCTAGCAGCCTCTGATTTTTCTGTTTTCGTCCCCTCTGTATTTGCAGCATAGGTTTGTTGAAAAGGTGTTTCTATATAACTCAGCATATTTGAGTGGCGCCAAGGAGAGGGAAAGTAAAGGAAGGGAAGGGAGGTTAGTCATTACTTGCAAGAAACACAAACTAAACTTGATAAAGCAGCTTTCACGAGATTCCTGCAAGAGTAGTAGTTAGTTAGAAGTAACTCAAGGTTATGAATGAATGCAAATGTTTGCAGAGATAAAAAGTAGGATGAGAGATGGGATCTTCTTTAAGGGTCAGTAAACACTGCCTCAAGTTACACGTTAGTTGCATTATGTTCCCACATATAGTTAGAATAATGAAATATAAAAAGAATAAAATTTAGATATAGTTGTCTAACTTATCCTCACATTTAATACACATTTCTATAACTCTAATTATAGAGATCAGAATTTAATTATAATTGATTACAGAACAACACCAAAATTCAAGAGAAAACTACATACACAGTTTTGCTGAGACGAAGTTACTAGAAACTGAACTTTTGTCTGGTATAGGTTTTCCTTTGTTTGCGCAGTGCATGTGTGGAGAATTTATTAATTTTCTTCTTCTTTTGATGCCTTCTTCTGCATCATTTTCTCTGCAATTTCCGTTCTATTTATAAGCGTATCATCTCATATTGGATAAGAAAGTATAAAAAAAAAAAAAAAAAAGTTAAACAGTATAAAAAGAATAAGAAAATTAAATAATATAAAAGAAACTCATATCCTAATGATATTTATCTTTGTATGAATTGAATATCTCGTTAATAGTGTTTTTACTCGTCAAAATACCTTTACTCAAATTTTCTTACCGCAGTGTGAATTAACACTCAGTATTGAAGTAGTTTTTATTCACTAAAATTGAATACAGGTACTAATAATTTGCAATTCATACACATAACTTGGGATCAATAAAACTAAACCCCCTTTGTACAAACAGAAGTATGAATAATTACTATACTTTTTTTTTGTCATTTAATTAAAAACTCTGATACCTTGCTGACCCTTGTCTCGTTTAAAATCCATAAGATTATTTATTTTTACATTGATAATACGTAATTATTAACTCAAAAAAGAACATGCTTTAACAGATAGTTTAATCTTATCCGAAAGATATCTTCTACCCCATTTATTGTTTTCCTCTCCCAATAGCGTTTTTCTCTTATTTAATTAACAGTTTTTTTCCTAGTAATTTTTTATACCCAGTTGATAGTTTTCTTCGAACTGACAAGGAAAAGATAGAATTTTTATTCACATATTTCCAGGTTAAAAAATTGTCTTTCTTCTTAAGAAAAAAATAGGTTCACTTCACTTCTGAAAAAGAGAAGAAAAAGTAAACAAACTCCAATTTTTTCCCACCATCAAATCAAATCCCACTTAAGAATCCACTGTTCAAACTCCAAAACAACAGGCCTAAAAGAAAAACTAGATTGGGCTCCCATGTATGCTCTAGGCCCACTTAAGAATACAGGCTTTGTCCAACTCCTTTTAACTCACAAGCCCACTGTTTTTAATCCCTGTCCCAGTTGTAGTTGCTGATAACCATTCCAACCAAATTATAATTGAACCAGCAAATCTCCAGGTTCATTTCTGAATATTTAACTCTTATGCCTAAGCTTATCATATGCTACCCTGTCTCTAAATATAATTATTTTAATATTTCACACTAATTAAAAAAATAGTTAATTTAATTAGTAACATTAAACTTGTTGACACTAACATGAATTTTCACTTGCTTAGGAATATTAATAAATTGCTGCTGTCTTATGATCACTAATTTTGTTGGGCTATGAATTTAACTTTTGAAACAACTATTATATAATGATAATAAAACTCTTCTTATTTAATAAATAATATTTTATAAAACATAAAACTATATTTATATTGATATTATTTGTTTGAAAATATGTAATAAACCACATAAAGTTAAAATTGATATATTATGTTTTTACAAAATATAATAGAGGTTTGTTATGTTTAATTTTAAATAAATGTTTCTACAAAATTTTGGATCCTATAAGAATAAAAATAAATTTGTCCCAACTTATATAATTAACATCAAACTAAGGTCAAATCAAATCTTAAATTCAAACAACAATTCACTTTCTATTTTATAATTCAATGATGAGGTGACAAATGTAGAATGGAGAAAGAAACAAAAAAAATGTAACTCCTAACAATAAAAAGTGAGATGATACAATCAATAAAATAATAATAATGGTGATAGCAAATACAGAACAGTAATCACAAAACCATAGCCATAATATACATTTTAAAATAAAATAATAAAATTTCGCAAGTCGCAATAACCCAAATAAAGCCATATAGTAGGGTTTTTTTTTTCCTGAATTTAGGAAGGTTGGGTTTGTGCCCATAGTTATAGAATAATCAATGGAATTATTTCGAAAAGTGTTTCCTTAAAACAAAATTGGTCGCAATTGAGTCAGTTTGGGTCGAAAATGCCACTACCCAACAGTAAACTATTCTTCCGCGCAGCAAGTCAATAAAAATTCAATGTTTCACTCCCATGTTCTAGATTAATTTGATGTCATTCTATTATTAATCATCAATATTTATAAGATCCTCAATCTATTTTATTGTTGGATAAACACTAATTATACTGGAGTGATTAGGAATATATTGTAAATTAGAGCACCATTATAACAAATTGAGTTTGATTTAGAGGACAATAATAATGATATGTTTAATATGCTATGATAATAGTGACAAGGAATATATTGTAAAATAAATGCTATGATAATGTAGTGTAAATAGTATCACTAATTTAAAACAGCTTCCATGACTTTTCTTTTATATAGCTGACGCAACCACCCCAACTACAAGTCTTTTATTCTATAGTAAAAACTCATACTCATAAACATTATCCTCACAGGCAAAAGAGCTTGGTGTTGGACGATAAAAAAAAAATCAATTAAGGACTTAACACATTTGTTTTATTAATCAGTGTAGGTTAAATCCAAGTGGAAGAAAGTAACTAGGTGTTCTGCAAGATACAAACATTTGACAGCAATGTTATCCTTCACAAGTTATGTCAATTTCTGTGAGATAAGCAAGACTATTTTCTTTTTTGACGAAACAGATTTACATATCTTTTTGGTGGTTAGTTAATGAAAATTGGACAATTGAATCAAAGGATCATCATAATTACAATCCTTAAATACCACTCTAAAATTATGTCTTTAAGATTATGAAACTCTGACCCCAAGTGGACCCTTGTGAATTATTGGACTAATTGAGTCAATAACAGCAGTAAACACTCATTTGAATCACAGTGAATGAACCAGCATGCAAATCACTCTGATAAAGATGTAATCAATCACTTTATAAGCCACGTTTCAACTTCAATTCTTTCAATCATGAAGAGAGAGAGAGGCGTAGATAAAGTGATGATGAGTTGCATGGACTGTAAAAGTTCACCATTCTTTTACGCCACAGACCATAAATAAACAAACAAATAGCTCTTCAGCGCAAACAAGTATGTTGATAGAGCAATAGCCCATCAAAATCATGAAGGAAAAACCTTTCCCCTCCCTAATAATTGACACCCTGAACTTTTTGTTAAATCGGTTCAGCTTTCTGTTTCTAGTACTAATTGATTTGTTTCTGACCTTTTTCCCTCAATTTTAGGATACTGGTGGGCTAACAATCCATATTGATAATGCATCCATGATAATGTTACATGGTGTGCACTCCACAATACAAAAGATGATCTGAGTGAAAGTGAGTATTGCTTATGATGATATCAACCTCTTGCAAGAAATTAATTTTCTTTTTTTGTCTTTCTATTGAGATGTATTCTTCATAGAAAGCAATTTTTACCAACAAAATATGGTGAGGAAAATATAAGTTCACATGCTGTGTTTTTACACCTTTTTAGCCTACTCAATAATAGCAGTATGCACCACTCAGTTTCTGTATGAAGGGTCTACACAAGCACAGCACTGCACTGCATTATAATCCCAAGAACTTGTCCAAAAGTGGGGACCCCACTACTAATCTTGGGTGTATTTCAAATGGAAATGACATGAAGGAATCAATCCCATAACACTTTGAAGGCCTTCATTTCTCTGTGTTTCCTCCACCTATATAACTTTCTCTCAATTTTGTTTTTCATTTTCTTTATTATACTGAAATAAGCAAGACATTATACCTTGGGCTATAGCATTAGATGGAAAGTTCCAAGGACATGGTTTTGTACTCTAGTGTTCTGTATTGTCGAATTGCCATGCCTCTACCACCCAATTCAACTTTACCTCAGTCTTCGAAGCACATGTGAGTGGATGGATACGATTCATAGTTGCAATTCGCAAGAAACAAGACACATGCCTTGGGTATCGTTCCATCAATCACTTCCCATCTTGGGATGTTGTCTCGTACTGAATCTTCTAAGTTCCCATCGTAAATTATGAGTATTTATCTCCAAAATAGTAAATTGGGATATTTTTTCGAGTGAAGCCAGATTCTTTTAGGATCTCTTAATATATTAAGATCTATTGAAGGAGTTTATATCTTCTAATAAATATGTTTTCACAAACACAAATTTAGAATTGAATCTTTGATAAAATAAGGTTATCTTTCAATTCTGTCATATATCATATTAAGATACCAAGTGATACGACAAATAAAAGAAGAAAACAGAATAAAGATAAAATGGATGTAGGGTAGTATTTTCCTAAGATTATATCTCTAATTAAGAGCCTTTAAATGCCAGGTGACACTCCAAAGTCCATTGGCCTTTTGGGTAGAAAGAAAACCTATTGGCCTGCCCTTCTTATCGTTTTCTGGGTGTCCCTAGCTACATGCTTATGTTTAGGCCAATGCTGTCATATTAAGGATTAGAATTTGATTTAAGAGTTGCAATTCTTGAATGATAATTTGGATAATATATATATATACGTTCACTTCCCAAGTGCCAAGTTGTGTTA